CGACAAAACAGGATGGGCAGGGGCAGGGTGAAACCAATCCCGCCAAGGAGCCCACATAAACCCAGGAGCCCCAACACAAACTAAAACTAGGTAAGCAGCACAGCACAAGAATGCAGCACTTCGCACATAAGCACAATAAGTAATAAATACAACCCAGAGCAGACTCATTCTCTAAGTTTAGGAATGTTCACCAGGCACACAGGCCAAAAGCCCCATGCAAAAACTAGATGGAATTAATAACCAAGCTTACTAACTGAATGCAGCATATAGTAATACATAAACAATAAAGCAATAAACAGCCCAGAGCAGACACTCTGAGTTGGGGAGTGCTCATCTGGAGGCAGCAGCAAATAAAGAGGAAGTGGGAAGGTCTGCCCAAGGGTTTTTGCTACTGTATTTTTTTCTGATTAGTTGTTACTGAAAAGTAATGTAACTATTTCTTTGCTGCTGGAGGTTTCAGTAAAGAAGGTAAGGCAAACATAAATCCTCCTGTCTTGCCATAAAATTGGCATTAAGCCTTCACCTGCCATACTGTGGGTGATCACTGTTTACCCTCTATTTTTTAAAAATGGACATTCTGATATCCACCTTGTCCCCTACTTAACAGAGGGACCTGGTGTCTATACCTGTGGACTCCAATTATTATATCAAGGGGAATTAGTCTTAGCCTAAGCCTACCCCTAGATGGTGGTAATTATCATACCTAGTGTCCTCTCAAATCTCCTTCCATAGACGGTAAGTGTAAGCTCTACATATAGGCTGAGTGTGAAGCTCTAATTAATATACCTGGGAAACCTAGGTATTACCTATAAATGGACCGATGTATGTATGTTGACTCTTGGTGGCCCATGTAGGCTTTTTTATTGCTTTCTCTGCTTTAATTATTTATGTATTTTGGACACCTGAGGGGGTGGGCACATATGCAAAGTGGGGGAGACTACTTCTCAGTAATAAAGCATTTTGGCTCTGTACCAGCGTGCGTATCACTTTTCCCTTTCTCCATAAAACTATGTCTGCCACTCGCTCACTGCTGGTGGGTACATGTGGATTTGTATGCAGATACCATTGAGAAAGGCAGGGTGCCGAAACATTGGGGTTAGGTTTAGACTCATGCTCTGTACTATTTGGCTTCTGCAAGAGATGGTGATTTCTATATGTTAAGTATATCAGCTTTGATGCATTGTACCTGGTCATATTTACTGTTACTTTTTATTTATTTTTTATTGATTTATAATAACGTGTTATATTTTAGATTGTTATTGGAGTGTGCATCCTTAATTATTTTCTATTTTGAGTTTTCCGGGCATTTTTGGGGAGTGCCTATTTTTGGATTTGCCCATTGCTTATGATTTAATTATGTAAAGTAATAGATGGTAGACCCTCTGTGCTAAATTAAAATTGATATTGATGCCTGTATCTGTGGAATGACACAAAAAGACAAACACAAACATGCATTTCAGAATTATAGTTTATTTCTTCACTTTGAGCATAAAGGTCCCTGTGTAAGAAAGGAGAAAAAAAAGTTTTAAAGTGACCCTCCATATTTCTAACCTAAAACAGACGGTCTATTATCACATTGCTGAAAATAACATGGCTTTTTTATTGCTTGTATTAGGGTACAAAGAGCAGTCTGATATTAGGAATATGTCCATAGTTCGTCACACCCAAATTTTATTTTACTGGAGAGTTGAAACTTAACCACCAGCAATAAAAGACAAACATATAAAAATGTATTGTATGCAACACCAGCCACAGTTTTGTTATCCCCCACCCTGCCAGCCTTAGGGTGGTGACTATTTGGGAATTAAAAAAGCTTGTTGACACAAAGTGCTAGTGAAATTTATCTGAATAAATCTATCCAGCGTACTGGTGACTAATCCATAATTACCTGTTTCAGAAGGTGTAGTCGTTGAGTTTACTTTAATAGACTTATGCCCCACTCCCTCTAGAACGTAAGCTCATGGAGCAGGGCCCTCCACCCCTCTGTTCCTGTGTGTCCAGTTGTCTAGTTACAATTACACGTTTGTTAGTCCACCCATTGTACAGCGCTACGGAATCTGATGGCGCTATATAAATAATAAAATAATAATACTGATCTGAGATATAATGAGAAATAATATAGTTGGACAACTTTTTAGATTACAACTTCCATCACCCATAGCCAGACAGTCTCGGTCAGTGGACTAATCCAGATGATTAATACTTATGGACACGTATTTTTATGGGGTGAAAATTAGTATTGTGTAAAAAAAAAAATAATAATAATAATTTGTTTACTACAGTGACTAGATCAGGAGATTATTATAAAATATGTAATATATGTAACATGAACAATGCAGGTTTTATTTATTTTTTAATACTAGAGGTTTACACTTGCCTGTGAGCAGAATACTAATTTTTACTAATACTAATTTTATAGCATGACAGGAGGCTTCATATTTGCTTAAGTCTCTCTTTACTAGAACTCCACAGCAGCACATTAACATAGAGAGAAAAACACCAAAGAAAACAAAGACAACATGTCAAGAATCCATACAAGACTCCTCCCAACCAACTATTTCTTCTTTCTTTGCTGCTCCGCAGTCAGTACAGGTCAGAGTACCACTGCCTCCTGTTATTTATGGGTGGCTGTGGATATTTTATGCATTTTTGTATAGATTTTACACATATTTATATTTAGTTTGCTCTTAGTTTATACATATTTTTTATAGGTATTGTTTCAGATTCTATGTAGATTTTAGGCTATGTTTGTCCATGATTTCTACTGGATTTATATCTATGTAGGGGAGGTGTGCAGGGTTTTTTCCTGCTTGGGGCCGTGTGGTGGCCTGTCCTGCCACCTAGGGTGCTGGGGTATCCTGTTTCCCGTCCCTTCTCCCTACCAGGACCAGACTGGGGATATAAAGCAGCCCTTGAAAAAAACTCCATGCCAGCCCCAGGAGTCATTGCGCCATATATTGTTGCATGTAATATGTAAGGCTATGTCTTGCCACCCCAGGAGTAATATATATATATATATATATATATATATATATATATATATATATCAAATATATATTGCTTTTTCTAATATAAAATATTGGTCCTTTCAGAGTAAACATTTAATTATACAGTAAGCATACACCCATGCAGACACAGACAATCTCACTGACACACACAAGCTACGATTTTACAGGGTTCGAGTATTGTTCGGTCACTTTATTACCGGGGACTGCCGTTTTATTTAGATTAGGTAACGCGTACGACTGTTTTCGGCGGCCTCGCTCTGCTTAGAATTCTCTTCGAGCAGACGTGCGGGTTCATAGGGATGTGAGTCCTTTACGATTCCCGAGGACGGGTATTCATCTCCCCAGGGGGTACACGCTTTTTTGTTGTGCTCCTGTGGTGGGTTCTGTCTGGTTTTTGTCCATTCACTGACTCTGGATTTATTTCCATTATTATACCTTGTTTTTTCCTTCAAATGGGCTTGGCAGTTTCGGTCCTTAGTTGTCTATCGGCCCTAGTCGAACCCGAGGGTCATATTCTTACCTTGGAAACACTCCCACCTTTAGGCGACGTTCGACGTCACTGTTTCTTTAGACGGTTCTTTCCTTTTTCTCGCCCTTCATGTACTGCTTGGTTGTGGTTGGCATTGGCGGGGCGTATAGGTTTTTTCGGTTCACTTCAGTCAGTAACACGGCGACTTCAGATACCAAGACATCGTACACTTTTCTGCCGGTTACAGGGAGCTATCTTTGCAGAGTTTAGGTTGGTATGGCGGATCGTGTTTCTTTGGTCTTTGCTGTCTGAGCGTTAAAACAGCAAATATGAAGCCTCCTGTCATGCTATAAAATTGTAGATTATACTAGCTTTAGTGTAACTATAATCTTAATTTTATTAACGACATGAGGAGGTTTTTTCACCCTACCCTGTTTCCTTGTGGGTTTCTTGACCTCTTTTAGGGGATAGCCATTTTTTTCCAGTTCCGGGTTAATGTAGGTCAATTATTTGCCTTCTTGAGGGAGGTCAGGGTATGATTTTAGAGCTATTGTACTGTTTTTGTTTATGGATACTCAGGTTTTCACAGTACGTTTCATTCTAGGTGGTACTGTTTATAATCTATGATGGGTATGCAGGTGTGTACAGTGTCACGGCAAGGGTGTATAATTTATTATTACCCTATGGAATATTATCCTTTAATGTAATTTGTGTAGTAAATGGCACAAATTACAGAGATGGTATTGTTGAGGTCAAAAGGGGTTACATCTTTTGAAGCTGGGACCCCCACAAAGGTCAGATGACAGAAGGGGTAGTGTAAATGGCATAGGAATGTGAAAAGGATTTTACTATATGGATGTGAAGTAATCAAGGCTCTGCAAGGTGTGAGGTTCTACACTTGGAAAAAGTCTGAATGTCTCTTCATCCATTTGGCATGTACCTTGTAAAGGATAGTTCAATCCTTTGATGGTAATGGGATTAGTTTCATGAAGATCCTTGTGTTCCAGTATTTTATCCAAGTGAAACATTAATACTTACCCACAGGTTAATAATTAAGCCTAATTTTTATTATATTTGGAATGGGACAAGCCCAGTCTCTTAATTAAGCCTAAACATGAGTTGCCCAACTTAAACCATGTGGCAGGAATTATGATGTCCATCCTATTGGATCATGGGCGGGGCGTGCGACAGGTCTATGGAATGGGAAAACAATAACAAATTCATAGAGGCAATTATTATTTCTGTGGCAAGTACAGTAGAGGAGATAAAACCAAAAGTTTGTATGTGGCTTGTTGTTTTCTGGAACAAAGGAGGTGGTCATTTAGTATCCCTATTGCTCCACCCCTGGGTGAGGCGTGGCAATTCACAGGGTATATCTCCTGTGATCCTGAAGGGTGTTTGTGTACTTGCTTGGGGCCAAGATCTAATTTTGAGTGAGTCACCATCTTTCCTTGCCAGAGACCCACTGGACAGAAGTTGTACTTTGAAAAAACCTAAGTGAGTAATTAGGACTTCTGTATTTTTTATTTTTTTTTTATTCATTTTTTTTATTGGTAGAAAAGAGAAAACAGTTATAATCAGACATTGACAATTCCAAAGTTAGTGACCCCCTTCCCACCACAAAATTTTGGATCAGTATATTATAGTAAACCTTCTGATTAACACTTAGATTTTAGAACACCAAGAGTAGATATACTGAACCCAACAATTCTGCAGAAAGCCAAGGCAGATACAATACAAATGGATCCTCAGAGAAATGTCTGAAGGCATTTACAAGGTCTTTGAAGTGATTCTTATTAAGCTCGTTAAGCTCAAAAAAACTGCAACACAGCACGAGAGTTTACTTCACACTGACCTCGTTTCAAATCTACAAGGAACCAATGCATTTACTTTAGAATAGCTTGTAATTGAGGTGATATTTATCAGTTTCAGCACCAGCAAAAATTTTGGTGCTAAACAAAAGGCTGTATTATGGATGCTTTTATATGATCTAGTACTGCTAGACATTTCTTTTCCACACAAAAATGTATTCAGGTCAAACCTAGTTAACCTAGTGTCTTCTGCAGCAATGACAAAATGGTCTGATATCTGCCACCAGGAAACATCTGCATACATCAGTCCAAGACCAAGAACCTTGCAAAAACACACAAACCAGTCTAAAACTCTCCAAAGGAACCTTCAGCTGTAATGACTAAACACAGTATATGTAGCAGATCAACTGCAACCAAATTACAGTATTCCCTCAATATTGTGTATCTACAGAAATTGCTACCAAAATAGCTGTCATGGCATCCCACATTTAGACGTGGGAGGGAAATGTGGCATCTGGTCTTCAATACATCTCACATGTTAAAAATGCATTTGCAAAAAAGAAATTAATGGGAGAAAAATAAAAAAAAAAAAAAAAAGATATATAGCACAATCCCAGCAAATTGACTATTGTTTGGGGTGTATGTCTGGCAGCATACAGGTCAATAAAAACATTGCAGCAATTTGGTTCACAACTTTTTAGCACATCTTTTGTATCGATGCACTGTCCAATACCAAAGTTAGAAGCTCTTGCTCCAAGCACGCACAACAATTAGACAATGTGTAGAACATGTGGTTGAAAGACTATGTAAAACAGGCTGCAAAATTTAAAGGAAGACTTCTATTGGGGGGCCGCAAGAGTATAGCAGAGTACTGATTTTACAGGAATGTTATTTACGATATTCCTGCAAAAAAGCAAACCACTTTCATATACTTAAAAATACCTCACGTGACAACAGCCACTACTACAAAACTTACAACTGCCCCCGTCAATAGAAGAGATCAACCTAAAGTTTGATTTTACTGAGCAATGGTCTACTACATAAGATATGCTAAATCTACAAATTATTTTGTTAATCAAGTCTAGGGTTTTAGAGATAAGAAAAAAAAAAAAAAATAAATAAAAATAAAAAATAAATCAGGGTTTGCCTGGCGGAGATGGCACATATCGTGGAATGTCAGAGTTAGTCTGGTGAACGTACACATCTGCGACTATCGGTGAAGTTACAGAATATAGTTATATATATCCTTTATATATTATAAACAAAAAAACAAAAAAAAAAACCGCAAACACAAAAATGTTTACTTAAATACTGGTAGCAAGAGAACTTTTTTTTATAAAATTTCAATTCAGTAGACAAAAAAAAAAATTATATAGAAGGCCAGTAAGAACACGCTAAAGATTAATAATCATGTCAAGGATTTTTCAGTGACTTCATGGATGCCACAGGGATCTCCCTCGCTGCACATTGGCCCCTCCATCCCGCCTCCCGCAGGAGTGTGGGGACGTGGTGTATGTTGTGTGTATTACAGCAGGTTTGTTATATGAGAAGGCACGTGGTTTTCTTTTTGCCACGTCTGGCTTGCAAAGCTGCCCGTGTGGCCATCTCAAACACCTCTCGGACACCATCTTTTGTCTTGGCAGAGCATTCCATGTAACCATAGGCAGAAATTCGATTGGCCATGTCCCTGCCTTCTTCTGGCTTTACTGGCTCCTGTTTCATTTTGGTGAGCTCTCTGCGAGTGTGCTCATCATTACGCAGATCCTTCTTATTCCCAACCAAGATAATTGGTACATTGGGGCAGAAATGTTTAACTTCTGGAGTCCATTTCTCTGGAATATTTTCTAAACTGTCAGGGCTATCAATAGAAAAACACATTAATATAACATCTGTGTCTGGATAGGACAAAGGTCTCAGTCTGTCATAATCTTCTTGTCCAGCTGTATCCCAAAGTGCCAGCTCCACCTGTTTCCCATCAACCTCAATGTCTGCAACATAGTTCTCGAACACTGTTGGTACATACACCTCTGGGAACTGGTCTTTGCTGAACACTATTAGAAGGCAAGTCTTGCCACATGCACCATCTCCCACAATTACAAGTTTTTTACGAATCGCTGCCATTTCTATTCTCACACACTCCGGCTGCTTGTAGCAGAAGAACCCGCCCGGCTAACACTCAGGCACGGCCAGGACTTCTGTATTTTATCCTTTTTGTTTTTATCTGTTGTTGGTGTAAATAATTTGTTTATCATATATTGTTATATGCAATGTGTTTAATTTTTGCTCATAATAAACATTCATTTATTAAGTTCTGCCTTTGTCTGGTTAAGAATCACGTTACCTGAAGAGACTAGTTAGTATTTTTGTAATTCCTTGAATATTGTACTAAGTAATATTTGGTGGGTTTTATTGTTGATTTACCTGGGGGACCAAAATTGTCTAAATTGTCTTGGTGGTGGCAGCGTTAAAATAGTAATAGTTATATTATTATGTTTAAGTGTGGGTGGTGTTAAAGGGGGATTTTGTCATTATTTCCGGTCAAGTGCAGACAAATAGTGAACTTTAACCCTTTCACAACCACAACTACGTCACACACACTCTTGGAGTAGGGTGTGTTCGTGACATACAGTATATTTCCTTCAATGTTGTACTATCGGTAATTGAGGATGGGTATTCATGTTTTCACAGTACATTTCATTCACTAATCAGTGTTTTGACTCTGTTTATATCTTTTCAGTTTAATGGTTCATCTACTGATCCCAGTTCAAGATTTTCCGCAGGATAAAATTCAAGTTTAAAGGTTTGACTCTGGTTCTTAGATCCAGATCTTCTTAAAGGTCAAGATTTCATCCACTGGTTCCATGTTACATTCGGATGGCTATCATCTTCTCATTCATCGTATTATTATGTTTTCTTCTATTATATTTAGTAGTTGTGTATTGTTGTACTTTACTTTGTCGCAGCATGAAAGAGGAAATAGTTGGTTGAGAGGAGCCTTTTATGGATTTTTGACTTTTTGTCTTTGGTGTTTTTCTCTCTATGTTAATGTGCTGCTGTGGAGTTCTAGTAAAGAGAGACTTAAGCAAATATTCACCTCCTGTCATTAATACAATTAAGATTATAGTTACACTAAAGCTAGTATAATCTACAATTATAATGATAGAATTGCAGAAATGTGCTTTGTCTGTTATTCAAAGGTCAGAGACCAGATGGAGAGTTTAGACAGCACTGCACAAAGGAGTAAATAGTTAGCCAGGTAGATCACTTCTAAATTACCAAGAAATAGACAAGTGTCCTGTTATGTAAAACCATAGAATTCAATGTACATTATTTTTATTATGAATATATATATATATATAGTTAATACAATGTTAAACAAAAATCTGCACACCAGTCAAGCCATAAGACTTGCTTTTCCCACAGAAATCCCAAATCTGCAGTGATGTTAAAACCGCAAAGGATTCTGGGTGGGCATATGCAAATTAGTTTAACAAAGAATCAAATTTTTGCCTCATTCCATTTTAAACATGGATTCCTTTTAATCTGTGTTTGCAGTATACAACTGCTTGGAACACAATTTAGGAAAAGATGCAAAACCAGTGAACCACTCATGGACAGCTGTTTCGTTGTTAATGCAACTCTTCAGCATGAGGTTGGTTACTGGTTTGCTTATTGAGGCTTGGTAGTGCTTGGGAAGCAAAATCCAATTAGGTTATGGTGGGGAAAAATTGTTAATTAATTTTAAAGAGCATACAAGAATGTAGTGCTCCTGTTTAGGAGCTGCAGTCCCTATTTTAGGCTTAAATCCCTCTGTCCCTCAGTTCTATCTTAATATCCCTCTTTTCTAGGAGCTCCACATTGTTGGTGTGTCTGAGTATTACAGTAATAAAATTATACCTTCCAAGTGTCATGCTACCACTTATGCTCTCTTTTTTAATAAGTATATAAGAATGACGTGCTTTTATTTAGAAGGGACAGTCCCTATTTAGGGCACAATCCCTCTGTCCCTCTTTTCTATCCTAATATCTCTAAGAATATTATATATATATATATATATATATATATATATATATATATATATATATATATATCTATCTATATATATCTATCTCTATTGTTGGTATGTCAGAGTACTGAGTACCTAAAATATCTCAGAACAGGCCCTCCTCTAGCCATACCGCCACTAACACCCTTCAGGTAGGCCTGTAAAAGAGGGCCCACCAAGATGAATGGCTTAATAAAGGATGTGGAACATTGAGTGAACCAGGCGGTCTCAACGCTTTGCCTACCTGCTCAGCCATCTCTTTTGTGGTCAGATACAATAAGCAGAGTTATAGTAGTGGTGGTGTAAGTCGGTTGTGGTGTGGCAGAATATGTAAGCCTATATAAGACTGCAAAAGGTTTAACAGTTTAACACTGAATACATTTTGACATTACATAACCAATACTTAAATGCATGTCTCAATTCCTTCTCAGGTTGAGGGAAGAAGACTCTACTGTCCCAGCCCTTAGATATGTACTGGGATAATACTAGAGGTAGTAAGAGCAGCACGTATTGTTTTATAATAACCTGAACATGTTGAAGGGTGTATTCTAGTAACTTTAAGGTGTTTTAACCTCGTTTAAGATTGAGGTGGCAGAATTCGTATTGAATGAGTATGGTTTGATGATTTGTTATGCAGAAGTGAGTTTTTGAAAATGGCCAGAGCCCAGCGCATGAACAGGTGGCATTGGCAGAGAGTGCTGTGTGTGGCCAGCAAACTACCATGGTCATGTTATAAACTAATCCAGCATTAAATCCTGGAATGTGGGGGTTTGGTAGGTTGTTTGGCCACCGTGGGGAGAGTTCAGAAGAATATAAGAAATTGTGATCAAGTCACGGCATTGGTTGCTTGTCACGGCATGTTCTGGCAACCTGGTATGTGGACAAAGTTACCGTGATGCTCAGAGCCAGATCACTTCCTAATCAACCTTATTGTTAGTTAATGGGACTGACCATTAATAATTCCCATGCTGCTGATTTACTAAAAGAGGGTAGGTTCCGTGTCACAATGGGCCTGTGACCAGTTAACTATGAAACTGGCTGCAATCCAGTGTGGATGGCTGTATCATTCCATAAATGAGGGACAATGGTAGAGTGAATATGGCTTCTCTGTTCTGGTGGGATAGAAAATTTAGCGAGATTAACAGGTCTGTTCAGGTATGTGTCGATTGTAACAGTACTATTGTTGATAGGTGAACCTACGAGCAGATTGAGTGGATGGAAAATAAATAAGCTCCCTTGTGTAAAGTGTATGGTAAAGTTCAGTGGACCAAGGAGTGACTGGACATCAATATGAGGAACAGGCATTGTTGCCCAGAAAGTCTAATGTACTTTGAGAAATTAAAATTGGGGCCGACGGTTGATCTTGACAGAGGAGTGCTAGATAAGAGGACAAATCTGCTTCGGGGTATGGCATTTGGTTCCATAATTGTTACAATCATTTAGAAAATGCATTACTTAAGTACAAAAGGAGCCAACAGAGAGATTATGCAACTATTTTGAACAGTTTTCAGCTCCAAACGTAAGATGGGTGACAAAGTAGAATGCTCTGTTCACTAAATATTGTGCAAATGCCACTGGGACCGATGCACTGAGAGCTACTTGAAGACGAGTGATATGGCATTTCCTAGCCAGGCTGCTTCTGTGACCTTTAAGGTCGGCCAAATATCAATGCTTATGGTGGTCTAATGCGTTGAACTATAAAGAATGAGGAGCATGTAATGAAATTATGCAGATATTATTAGGATTCCCATTGGTTAGGATGACATAGTAGGTGTCCACGCATAAAAGGGTTGTGAAGGAGAGCCCTATCACTATGGGCTCATTTTGTGCATTTGGTTCATTTTCCCCACTTTGTTCGCCTTTTCGTTCGGGAAAAGAACGGAGACTCTCCTGGAACACCAATTAAACTAACCAACACTATGTATCCATTAGTGAAACCACATCAAAAGGATTCCGTTGCACGCTTTACTGGGTGGCCGCCGTTTCGTGCACACGAACGCACGTGGTGAGAACAATGGATGGTGGCTGTAACGGATCACCTGGCACCCCGACTGGGTACCTCCGTTGAAAGATGCTCCTAGAGCTTCCTGAGGACTCCAAGCACTGCAGCAGACACCACAATCACCGAACAAGAGAAACAAATAAATTCTCCCAAGCATATGAATGCTGTAGACAGTTGAATAGGAACCATACGAATAGGTTTACTCTCCTAGCAGTCAAACTGGAACAGCATACAATAAATCCTTCCCCCAATAATGAGACGACACTTCACTTTGAGGGTTAAAACAGGAACTCCCTGTACTGTCACATACAGTCTCTTTTATTCCCAATCCACAAACATAGTACAGCCCACAGGGCATTACAAAACAGCCAATCAATCCATACAATACACCCAGACACTCCCACACTAAATCCTCCCCTCTGGCTGTAACTACTAGATTGGAGGTTAGGATAAATCCTAATACCTGACAGAAGTGAAATGGCCCCTAGTAGTTAAGACTCATTCAACTTAATTAGCATTAGAAGGGCCCTAGCATAAAACCAATACTTTATTCTGCCACGGACAACCCCTGTGATGGTCTAACTCCCTTTGACCATTCTGGGTTCCCTTTCCCTCAGCAGACCGCATATAATCCTTCCAGGCAGAACGTAGACACTGGCATAGCATAACCCCCCACATATGACGTATGGTACTACATGGAAGGGTAGGCCTTCCAAAGTCAGGAGATTCTAAGTGTCACTAGTTTGTCAACAATTGTACATGAGGATTAAAGGATGAGAGCCATCATGGCCTACATCTCTGCCATGCTGGCTGTGTTTCCAGCTTGGGTGCTGACACATGGTAGGGCAGCCCAGAGCTGGAGAACCGGACTCTATACAGCACAATTTTCAAGCCGAAGAAGGCAACTCTGTGGTAAAAGTGGAATGGTATAAGATCACCATGAACTGGTGCTGGCGGTATCTTGGGTTACAGCTGGAGTGCATGGACTAGATGTGGTGGAGGGTTTGGCGGGGGAGCCTAGATTGAAATATCTTACTAGTTCTAAGGTGTGCAAAAACTACATGTATAGTAACTGTGACAGTCATGTAACTCCGTATCCACTGCCAGCTTACATAGTGCTGAATAGTGAAAATTAGCTAAACAAGGGGAAGGTGAGACCCAACTAAGTGCAAAGTGGCTCTGAGAGTCTAGCTACAGTGATGTAAAAAATTATTTGATCACCTGCTGATTTTGAACATTTG